GGTTGAGCTCCGGGGCGGCGCTGGACAGATCCCCTTCCGAGAGCGGCGGCGGCGGTCCCGGGGGCTCGGGGGGTCTCTTCTCTGGTGGGAGAATGCGAGGAGGACATGCTGTGGAAGGGTTACTTCTTTTAAACACCGTCTTAAAACATCAGGCAAACAGATTAAAAAAAACCCCCGCATTTTATCCAAATAAAGTAAATCAATAAAAGACAATCCACCAAACCAAACAGCCTCCCGAGACAGTCGCTCCCTCCAGGATGTGCTGGAAAAGAGGGCTGAGGGCTGGCAGTGGTTCCAAGGTCCATGCACACCCTCATTAACGTCTTCCCCACGCTCAGCCCGTCCCCCCCTGCACACCCAGCTAGTGAGCAACAGCTGCCCTGACACACGGGCACTGAGCAGGGAATTCCTGCTCTGGGATCAAAGGCAAACGCTGAGCAGGAGACAGATGTGGAGCTGCCTCAGGGCACGTGTCTCCAGAGCAGGCAGGGGGACACCATCCTGCCCTGTGCCAGGCTGTGCCCCCATGGAGCCTGGCCCTGAGGTTGTCCCTTTGGAAAAAAACAAAACAAACCAGACCAAAGCAAAAACCCAACCCCAATCCCCCAGGGAACAGCTCCTGACTGTGCCCACTTTGGGCACCAGGGAGAGGGTTCACCCTCTCGTGTCCCCCTTTTGCTCCCCACCACAGCCAGCCCTGCCCCGCCTCGGATATGACATCTTTCACAAAGTAGGTTTCCAGTCCAGAGTCCAAAACAACCTCAACCCACAAATATTTGCATGCAACGTCCAGACTGCCCTGGAACACCAGAAAACCCTCTTGCCCCTGCCACCCCCTCCTCCCCTGGGCCCCCCACCCGAATCAGAGCTGAAGGCCCAAGGATTTCTGTCTGACCCCTCCTAGCTCCTCCAGACCCCCTGGCACATCCCACCATCACCACGCTCTTACTACTTGGTGTTACTGCTTCTGAGGCAGCAGGAAGAACAAAGCAGCCTGGTCAGGCAGTGGGAAGGGGGGGAAGCAGAGCTCTGTCCCTCCCCCTGCTCAAAAGTGACAGGGCAGAGGGGAGGACGCAGCTTCCCAGGGGACACGACCTGCTCCCCCTGCACCCACAAAACCAGTCCTGCCTCCTGCAGAGCAACACAACTGAACTGACTCCAGCTCCTTCCTCAACACAGGGATGGGCCAGACGGGGAGGAAGGTTAGTGCTGGCGATGGTGTAAGAGGCCACAAACACCTTGTTTGAATCAGATCCTCAAATCATTTACAAAACTGGTTATTAAAAAGGTCAAACTTTATTGTGAAAACCAGTAGTCTTTCCAGGACCCCCCTCCACCCGTATCAGTCAGTCCACTTTAAAACTAGATTGTATTGAAATCCAGAAAACAATCTTCAGGTAATCTTTAAAGCCAAGCTGATCTGGGGACAGCATTATCATTTCAAATAATTATAAACAGAGAACAATGTTATTGGATTGAATCTGCTCTACAGTAACCTAGTTATCTTCCAGTACTAGGGCAAAAAAAAAAAAAAAAAAAAAAAAATTAAAAAAAAACAACAACAAAAAACCAACAAAAAGCAGGGTCACAACTGGCTCGTGGTGGGCGGGTGTGTTGAAGGCACGAGAACACAGCACGTTCAGCTACATTGCAGAGTTGTGTATCGGGCCAAAAGAGGCTCCCCGGAGAGTCTGAGACAAACTCAGGAGGCTCTTCTAGAATTTGGTGAGGTCGTCACAGGATGTTGCTAATAATTCAAAAAATCAACAGAAACAAGAGACATGGAGACATTTACACTCACCTTTGAATAGGAAACCCGAGAGTTCCCTGACACAAGCAGCTCTTCTCAGCTCGCTCTACAAGAACCAGCCGCTTGGCTGCACTTCACTGGGTGTCAGGACTCAACAGGCAACTCTGGGTGTCACCAGGCTCACCCAGCCTGGGTCCACCAAGGTTTTTTTATGCACACAACTGCCACTGTTCCCCCCTTCCAGTATTTCATTTCTCATTTTCTTTAAAATCATCTCTACACAATTTCCATTTTTGAGAGGGTAGGAAGGGAACAGTGGGAGTTGGGACACACAGTGAGCAGGGAAAATCCACAGAGATTCAATGTTCTGTGCAAAAAACCTACCTGGAAATGTGACCTGATTACCAGGGGTATCAGAGGGAAGAACTGAACTTCCAAAGTTTCCCTCTCATTTTTGTGCAAAACCCAAACCCTTTCATCTTCAGTGATCCATTCAAAGGGGATCACTAATGGATTTTAGATCCTTTGAAGAGGTGAAAAGTATTTTTGTGTTTTGGCTTTTGCAGTTGGCAAAACCTCCAGGGCAGCCCACACTGGCTGCAGGGAGTGGGTCAGTGTCTTCCTCAGTCTTGAAACCTGAGGCTTGACAAGATCATAGCACCCAGCACCTCTCCTCCTCCCTTGCACCCCTGCCTCCCTCTGGTACAACACTCAGGTGTCTCTGCTCCTCTTGGAACACTTCAGTTTTTCCAACAAGCTCCTGCCATTGGAGACACACATGAACTGCTGATGATTATTTACCTGTGCTTTCCTCTGGGTGCACGGTGGGGGTTTTCCTCGGCCCCCGTTGCTCGCTGCTCTTCTCCCCATTGCTCTCCTCCAGAGTTAGGACAGGCTCCTGGCCTTTTATCAGCTGGCTCAGCAGGACAGCCAGCACATTCTGCACATCTCCCTGAGCACTGGCTGCTTCTGGAGTCACCTGCTCCTCCAGGAGCTGGGCCTCAGCGGGCGGCTCCTCTATGGCTTCCTCTGCTGCTGCCACCGGGGGCTCCTGCTGCTGCGTGGTGGCTTCTGTCAGGGCATTGATGGACTGGTTGAGAGCCTCCAGCTGCTGCTGCATCTCTGGGTTAGAATGCACGTTCAACAGCTGGGCCATCTGTGGGACACTCAGATCAGTCTGGCTCTGCAGCAAGTTCAGCAGAACAGCCAGTTCGCTCTGGTTCAGCTGCTGGGTGATTTCTCCAAGGCCTGCTGGAAACACAAGAGGCAGGACAGGAAGGTCAGGCAAAGCAGCAGTTTGTCATCCTGATGCTGCAATAAACACCTCCAGGTCATCCCCGGGTTGGGGGAAGGCAGAGAGGCTCCAGGAGGAGGATTCCAGGAGCGGCTCCGTGGCGGGCTGGGGGCGCTGCGCAGCCCTGCAGCAGCACCCGCTGGCCCCGCGTGTCACTGCACCCCTGCACTCACCCTGGGCACTGCTGGTACCCCCCTCACCACCCTCTCACACTCATCGGCCCAGCTGAGCCAAACCTCCCCACTCCTCAATAGAGCATCCCCAGAACATCAGACTGGTGCCCCGGGACGCCCCCGGTTATGGCAGCAAGTCCGAGGGGGGTGATGAAGGCTGGAAGCCCCTTCACCCAGTTCAGCAGCCACCAGAGCAGCTCAGCCCCTCCCTGCAGCACTCTGGGATCTACAGCACCTCCCTCCTGCACCGGGAAGCAGGTTTCTCGGGATGTTGCTAAGCTCCTGCTCGGGATGCAGGAAGGGTGTGTTCCAGTAACACAGCAAATCAAACTGGGTCAAGCAGAAGGCAATTGCTGGAAGCTGGCCTGGGGTGACAGGGGACTCTGTCCTGACCTGCAAGTATCCAGGTTAGTCTAAAATACAAGCCCTGAGTGGCATCACCTCCCTTCACACCACGCTGGAGCACAGCCTCCTGAATGACAAGTGACAAGGCTGCCCCTTCACACTGACATTTTAAGCCAAACTTTTTGGGAAAACAGGTGCAAGGACTTGGTTTTAGAAGCTTAAAATTAAGCTCTTCTTGCTGGGAGGCAACTAAGAACCTGACACTCCTCTCAGCTGCTTGTTCATCCAACCACCACCTTTTGTCCATCTGCCATGTTTCATTGAACACATGGATGGTGTGTTCCCTGGAGCAGGAACTGTCTTCCTTGTTACTTGTCAGCACAACACTTGACACAAAGGAAGTTTTAGCCCATATCTGGGTCTTTATAAGGCTTCTACAGAACAATCAGCGTGGCCTGGACAGCTTTGTCTATCTCTGCTTTTCCAGGAATCAAAGTACCTCCCCTCCAATATTTTCTGGGCACCAGAAGGTTGCTCACAGCTTTGGAAACAATGCACAAATCCTGGTCCTGGAAGTCTTTATGACCAAATTACCTTTTCTGCAACAAGCAGAGTGCAGTAACATTCACTTTTGCTCACCAGCCATTAGTCTGTTACACCCCATGCCTTTTATATAGTTTGATCAAGATCAAAACAGCTCACCTGCACACCCTCTGCATGGCTGTACCTTTACTGGCCTAAGTGACTCAATGACTCCTTTCATCATTCTGGGTGAAACCAGGCTTCCAAACCAGAAACACACCTCAGAGAACAAGTTCATAGTCACCTAATCAGGGAGTGACCTCTGAAGAGCAGCCAGAACACTCTGCAGCCAGTAATTTTCACAGCAGAGGAACAAAAAAAGGAAAAAAACCCACCAACAACCACAATAAAACAGGACAGAAGGTTCTGGGATAGTCTTTCTGTGCAAACAGAAGTGAAAGTACCAGACTGGCTTGAAAACAAGACACCAGCCTCCCCGCACCCAGACCAGAGAGGTATCATGTCAGAAAGAGCCTTTTACAGAGCAGACTGGGCACTGACCTACTGCATCTCCAGCACCAGGCTCTGTTTTGAGCTGGGCAGGCTGTGGGGGCACAGGACTGCTGTTGTTTTTGACAGTGTCTGTGCTGGTAACAGAGGTAGTTTCTTTCCGAGAAACTTTAGATACCGGCGGCTCCTCCCGGGGCCTCCCCCTCTGCCGCCGGCGGCGCCGATATAGTTTGATCAAGATCAAAACAGCTCACCTGCACACCCTCTGCATGGCTGTACCTTTACTGGCCTAAGTGACTCAATGACTCCTTTCATCATTCTGGGTGAAACCAGGCTTCCAAACCAGAAACACACCTCAGAGAACAAGTTCATAGTCACCTAATCAGGGAGTGACCTCTGAAGAGCAGCCAGAACACTCTGCAGCCAGTAATTTTCACAGCAGAGGAACAAAAAAAGGAAAAAAACCCACCAACAACCACAATAAAACAGGACAGAAGGTTCTGGGATAGTCTTTCTGTGCAAACAGAAGTGAAAGTACCAGACTGGCTTGAAAACAAGACACCAGCCTCCCCGCACCCAGACCAGAGAGGTATCATGTCAGAAAGAGCCTTTTACAGAGCAGACTGGGCACTGACCTACTGCATCTCCAGCACCAGGCTCTGTTTTGAGCTGGGCAGGCTGTGGGGGCACAGGACTGCTGTTGTTTTTGACAGTGTCTGTGCTGGTAACAGAGGTAGTTTCTTTCCGAGAAACTTTAGATACCGGCGGCTCCTCCAGGGCCATCCCGCTCTGCCGCTGCCGCCGCCGCTTCTTGCTCCACAGCTCGTGGCAATCCTGCCAGTGGGGAAGGCTGGAAGAAAACAACACCCAGCAGGTCAGAAACATGGCAAGGGGAACCCATTCCACCCTCAAAGGCCACATGGGAATTATTTAATTTGCACTGAGATCTCACCCCTGAATGGATGGGGCTGGCTACACCAGCCCCAGTGAGCACAAGCCTGCCAAGCTTTGAGGCTGGTGTCTTCAAGAAAGCTGCTGCCTTCAGGAATTCTTAAGGAAACAGGAGTCTCCAAAGCTCCTGCCCTCCTTGCACACAAAGCAGCTGGAGCAGAGTTTGATGATCTGCTTGATTAGAACAGAAGCAAAGGGCTGTGAAGTGTGTGATGCTGCTCAGCAGCTGCTCCTCTGCCAACCCACAAGCTGCACCGAGGCCTGGCCAGTCCAACATGGCACAGAGGACAGGGATACAAGCTACTCTTGTGTATCTTCCAGAGTTTTAGAGCACCTTACAAGCACTAAAGTGAGCCTTATAAAACCAGCCTGTTACCAAGCAGAAAACCATCAGCACAGGAAGAACTGTTTGCTCAGCCCAGGACAAAACGCAAGGCCAGAGTTGAGAAAACCGAGAAACAACATAATTCTGACTGAGAAAAACCCAGGGCCAAGCCAGTGGCTGCTTCCCAAAGCTCATTAGCAGAGAGCCCACTGCAGGGGAGGATGCCAGCTGGAACTTACTCTGGAGGTGCCATTTTGCTGAGGTCAACATCCCTCAGGAAGTCGCTCTGCAGGGCCTGCTCTGCTGTGCAGCGCTTGCCAGGGTCCAGGGTCAGCATGTGGTCCAGCAGGTCCAGGGCAGATGAGGGAATGCTGGGGGAAGGTGGGAGAGGTGGATGAGCTCAGGGCTTGGTCTGGACAGGGGGAAAAGTCTGCTTCCAGGAAAACACCTTAGGCCTAAGAAAGCCCTGCAGTCAAAATTTGTTACTACAGCAGCGGCTCAAAGAATCGGACACGTGATCTTTTCAGTCTCATTTCTGCCATTTATGAAGAGCAGGTGATCTGCCCCAAGGCCCAGGTGATCACCACACAACTCTGATCATCCCCCCAGAGAGCAGGATGCCTCTGCAGTCAGCCAGCCCCAGCACTGTGGGAATTCCATGAGAGCAAGGGTGCTTCCCAGGCACAGACCCAAGCTAGGGCTGTGAGGAGGGTGCCAAGGCAGAGAAGCTCCTGGGAGGCACCTCAGGTATTTAGGAAGGAGATGGTGACCCTATTCCAGCCCCCCCAAGATGGGAGAAGCCCTCCTGGAGAGGGCTGTCTAGGGGCAGAAGGGGAGGCACTGCTTTATCCCACCAGGTGGACAAGAGCCATAGATCAGCAGGTGAGCTGCTGATCTCCTCTCTCCTGACACAACTCACAAGGAGAACTCCTCCCGCAGGCGCCGCCGATATTGCTTCTTGGGCTTCATGGTGTTGAAGTAGGGCAACTTGATCACATCTGGCCACACAGCTGGGCAGGGACTCCCGCAGAGCCGGCTGGGAAGCAGAGGAGCAGAGAATGGTCAGCAGGTGAGGCAGCTCCAGGAGAACAACCACCAGCCCCACTGAAAACATCTCCCTTCTAAGCAACTTGGCAGGCCAGTAGCCCCGGTCTGGGCATGTTTCAAGGATGAAATGACCCTCAGATTAAAAAGAAGGAATTAGGAAGAGGAAAAACAGTTATCCTGAGTTCAGAAACCACCTAACACCACCGATTTTCAGTGTAAGGTGTATCTTAGGTTCATCAATGTCTACTGAAGGTGCAGACATTCAGAGCCACACACTTGGCGGTAGGCATGGACAGATGCCCAGCTCTTCACTCTGCACTTAACAGGCATCTGCTGGTCCTCTTTTGCAGGCAGATTAGGGAAAGGGGGCTCTGATAAACACAGAGCCTGTGTGCATGAGCAGTTTCTGCAGTACCTCTGCTCATAGGCATGCATGTGCAATGCTTTACCTGATTAATTCAAGCTGAGCCAGTTCCAGATTGGCTTGAAAAATAGGCTTCTTTGTAAACAGTTCCCCGAGGATACAGCTGGAAAGAGGAAAAGCAAGAGGTCATGACAGCAAACCCTTGGGATGGTTGCTTGAACACTGCAGCATTTCTGTTCAGAAGCAGGTTTGCCTGAGGAAAGGTATTTGCATCAGGGCTTGTAGTTGAGAACTGACAAACTAACCTACGTGTCCAGAGTCACCCAGCAGGCAGCTGGGAAATCCCACCCCCAGCAGGCTGGCCAACGTGGGGCAGGCTCCAGGCTTTAACTCTTGCAGGGAAAAGAGGATGTGCCAGGAGCATGGCAAGAAAAACAGCCAGGCATCTAATTTTCATCCAGACTCAGCCTGTTTATTCTTCTAACTTTACTGACACAGTCTGGGGGGTTATCTGCTGGCCCAAACTTCCCTCAGCTGCCAGCAGTGCACTGCTTGTCATGGCCTTGTACCTACACACAGCATTTGTGCAGCGGGAAGGGAAAGA